TGTTTTTCACCTTTCCTGAGATTGTTGTTTCTTTCTGCAGTCCATGTGTGTTTTTCTGATATTGATATCCAACGTTTAGTTGACAAGATGAGTGAGAAACACCCTGGGGTTGTACAGACAGATCTGATAATGAAATCTAATTTTATGCATAGTCAATTAATGAATGAATAGTTTCATATTACAACCAGGCCAACTTGCTAGAGATTTATACCAGGAAAAAAAGGTTTAGCACATTGCCCAGCATGCTTCAGAAATGTTAAAAACCTGATTTTAGCATTCATCTAGATAAAGTATTTATTACGCATGGTTGTTCAATGACTAAATACATATTTGCTAAGGAATAGATACCTAGACTTAAAAATTAGCATTGATTTTCAAAAAGGAGATAAAATACTGAGCAGGTAAAGTAACTATGCAGATTTAAATGAATATTCAGTGATGATGAAATATACATTGTAACCATGACCATGTAACATGTGGTAAACACCTCTTCTGCTTTGAACTCTGGGATGCAGCTGGGACTACCTGAGGTAGAGACCTGTGATCACCTTGTCAGCAGGAGTGCTATACTGTACACCTGAGCACCTAGGCTCAGGTACTCAAAGCCTCTGAAGCAGTGTTGCTTAAAATGTTGACAGAATACCACAGGCATGGGATCTACTGGAATGGTTCTGAGCTGTATCCCAGATTTACTCAGTTTCAGTCTTAGAGGGTAGTGCCGGGGAGCCTGGAGTTTTAACAAGCCCATCAGGCACTGTCTTCCATGCTCAAAAATTAGAGAACCCTTGTCCTAGAGGCTTTGCTGTCTACTGATAATCCACCTGGCTTATTTTATTACTTGCATATTTTTGATTTTATAGGCTCATTTGTCTGACTTTCTTCATTAGTGTTCCTGACACTTACCTAGCAATCTGATGCTCATTAGCCATACTTTATTTCAATTTCTCTTGTGAATTTTGGAATTTTCCTTCCTTATCCCTAACCCAAGATATTCTCCTGGTACTTTTAAAGAAATGAAAAAATATTGCATGTAATTTTCAAAATATTATAAACTTCAGTACTTCAAAGATAAAGCCATGAAATATTTTCTTTTTACTCCAGAGAAAGATGTATTTTATTATGTAAGTAAAGGGAAAATATATGCCACAATATTATTTATTTGTTTAAATTTATTTTTTATTAGCATATTCATTGTTACAAATCATACTTATTCTTTATGCTCCTTCTCCAATCCCCCCCATCCACCTCTCCTTTCCCCTCCCTCTCCCTCTCTAATAACCATAGATTTGTTCTCTCCATCTGGATTGATTGATTATTTATCTGTTGATTTGTTGCCTAGATGATCTGTCCAGTACTGAGACAGGTGTGATCAAGTCCCCTCCTATTATCATAAATCAGATGCTTCTTCTATTACTCTGCAGTGTGCTTTGTGGAGAGAGAGGACCTCTCCTTTTTTTTTTTTTTTTTTTGGTCTCTGG